TCGCATGTTTGGCCGTTTTGCTCGCATCTGGCCCTTCAGTTGTAGGAGGTGGACGTGTCAAGTACTAAGATTCAAACAGGACCTTGGAAGTGTTTTTGAGAACGGTCGTGTTTCTCCGCGGACAAACCTGTTCGATTCGTTGCAGATAACGATATAGACTATATTGTTTAACAATCTGCGGGGCTGGATCTCTATATACGTACATATGAAACACTCGCGAATGAAACTCTGAGTATCCTTATCTTCGTATTGGACTTCTGTGTATAGTGCCATAAGTAGCCGTGAAAGGATCAACTCCGATAGGCACTTGACCATGTTCTTATATTCTTCCTGTCTAACATTTACCGCAACTGGAATTTGCCGTGCAGCAGAGGCATCCTATCCCATAAATCAGAAGATACTGTTCAGGTGTGGTGGAGCTTTGATAAGGAGTCTCTTTATCAATGGTGAAAGATCTGTACCGCCGGGAGAACATGAGTACGGAAGTCTATAAAAGGAGTGCCATGTTGTGTATCAATCTCATTCTGTTACATCTAGTACATTTATACTGGACTCATATTTCATCATAGGTCGAAAGAAGCCAGAGACATGCCTATCGATTTCACTCTTACTCCAGCCCAGGAGGACCTCAAGGCTCGTGCCCGCCAGTTTGCCGTTGAAGTCCTCGCTCCAGCACGTGAGGAATATCTTAAGCTCCCAACCCAGCTTTTGCGCTATCAGTCAACCAGAAAGACTTACCAGAGGCTCGTCGAAGATGGATGGATCAAGATTCAGATCCCTGAGCAGTATGGTGGCACACGAAATAGTCTCGTTGATCTCGCCATCATCGCCGAGGAGTTTTTCGCCTGTGACTCAAGCATTCCCATCACTTGGTTAGTCACAGGCCTGGGGTTGGCTCCCATCTTCATGTACGGAAGCGAGGAACAGAAGAAAGAATTTCTTGCTCCATTCCTTGAGACCAAAGGTGATGAACTCGCTGCACTTGGCTTCTCCGAACCAACTGGCAGTGCAAACTACTTGCAGAACGAAGGTGGTCTCGGTGTACAGACATTCGCCAAGATCGAGGGCGACGAGGTTGTCATCAACGGTGGCAAACAATGGGCCTCGAGTAGTGGGGGATGGGAGTTCAAAGGTCCCTCTGTTTTATCCCTACTATGCCGTTTCAGTGATCAGGGCGCCCCGAAGGATACGCTGGGTTTTGTGATCATCACCACGAAGCAATTCGAGGCAGAGGTCAACCAGGGTGCGTTTGAAGTGGTCAATGATATTGAAACGCACGGCTTTCGTGCCTCTTCTGGCCCTCGCACCAAGTTCACGAATTTTCGAGTCCCGGCTAAGAACATTTTAGCGCATGCGGGTGCAGGTGCCATGGTCAACGTGGCCGCTTTCACTGAGTCTGCTGCGCTCGTCGGCGCTGGTGCCGCCGGTTTGATGAGATCCTGTTTTGCCCACACCCACAAGTTCGTTACGACCGAGAAACGTGGAGGCTCTGTTCCAACCATCAATTACCAATCTGTCGCTGACTTCCTGATCAGCATGAAGATGCGGGAGGAAACTACCCGCTATCTTACCTGGAAGGCATGCCACTACCTTGAGACAACGGGTGAGTCGGAATTGGCGTATCAAGCTAAAGTGTTCGGATCTGAGAATGCAGTCCAAGCTGTCCTCGAGGGGATGCAAGCTGTGGGTGTCACAGCATATGATACAAAACAGCCATATGGCCTCTTCATGGATGACGCACTCTGCTTGCCGCTCTTCGAAGGATCTAACACTGGTGTGCGCCGCCGACAGATCCAGAAAATCTTTTCTCAGCCAGGCTACGATCCAGAGTCTTGTGCGAGTAACAGACCATGGAGTAAGCCAGTGGCAGGATACCCCGAAGGGTTCTTGAGCGTATATGTTTAAAGATTATATCTACCGCGCTATTTTGGTATGCTCCGTAGTTCTACTTACTATGATATAGACTGGCAAGAGAATATCATAAATATATACCTTATGATATACTGCTTACATAAACTCCTGCTGGAACCCCCAGCTGGAGCACCAAAACTACAACGAGTGCTTAGAGGTAGTTGTTTTGGGGGTTCATATGGGGCCCTGGGGGAAACACCGGGGTGGGCAGATGGGACTGGGGAAAGGCGGCTGCTTAGTCCAATTTTCTATCCCGTAGGGACTTCGTAGCCAAGAGTTCCTTCGTACGAAGTTTTCTTTCTTTCCTATCATCCAGAGCTCCAATTGAGATTTGGCAACTCGAAGAAGACACGCACACACACATTCTTCGTAAACCTTTAGATAATATTGTCCCTAATGAGCTACGGACGTCGATTATTGATATGCAAGAGTCTATGAGAGCTATGTCTGAAGAATTAGACACCTCTGGGGACGATGAGCACAATAACAGGTTGGCTAAACGACCGCGAAACTTCATTACGAGACAGGTGGGTTGGGAGATTCTCCATAGTAGGCAGCGCAACACGTCTAAATGCTATTCATCCAGGCCTGTGAGAGCAATGAGAAGCCCATACCCAACATGGATAGCTAGCCCCTGGTTCTCCGCAGGCATCAAAGAGAATAGAACCTTATATTATAGGTATGACTGACATCGCAGAGAACGCTCTTTGCGTTTTGCAGGGTATATAAAGTAAATCCCTGTTCAGAAAGGTTGCACGTGATCTCTGCGTTTTACCTTCCCAAGAAATGAACATTCTTTCTTGACGTTGAGATCTGCCAATGGTGCAAACTCTTGCCTGCTCCTAGCTAGTAGATTCACTCTACTTTACTCGTTTTCATAGGCTTGTTTCGTATTCAACTTCCTCCTCGCTGGTGCCTACTTCCCTAGGGTGGAGAAGCTACTTGGTTTGTTCCGAAAGAGGAAGGAACCACTCCTTAATTGCGGTACGATGAATCTATCCGAAGTGCATTGCCTGGTTCTCGATCTACTCCCCACACAAATTTTCTTATCACAAAGCTTCGCTATTAACTGTTGAGTCATTGTTAATGAGAAACTGGAGCAGATGAACAAACTCCGATTTTCATGAGAATACTTGAATGCGAGCCTCCTCCCTTTCAACTTGACCACATTGAATTTCCAAATCTTCTCGTTTCTCGAATAGCAGCATTGTTTGTCCTCCAAACTACCAAACGTCCACCATGTCTCAACGAAGATTCATTGCCTCGTCCAGCGAATACGAGCCTCCCTTGAGCAGCGACTTTGAACACGATCTTGAAACGAGTCTTCGACTGCTAAGCCTGCTCGAAAATCCTTCGACGTCACAACCCATCCACGATCTACTACAAGCCCAGAACATACAGGACGATCTTGCTCGGATGCTAAGCGCAAGATCCATCATATCAACTACATCCTCGTTTGCAGTGGAACAAGCAAAGACGAATGAGGAAACCAGTCATACCCGAACTTTCAGGAAAATTGGAGCAGGTGCTTGTGGTGCAGTCTTTGCGGCCGATGGGGAGTCACTGTCATACAAGATTGGGAAGACGGGTATATTGGACGATGAAGCTGCATTATGGACTGATTTCAACATGCACGGATACATTATGAAGGCACTTCGCAAGTTCAAGGCCGATATCGAGATCACGAACGTTCATATCTACATTAATCACGACAACAAGGAATGGTGGGAGAAGCACCGGGAACTCAAAATGGCAGCAAGCAGCGCCTGCAACCTTCCAGCAAGGGTACTTGTCACAGAACGAATCTTGCCATTACCGGCACCGATCCGCGAGAAGCTCGTAGACCAATTCTGCAAGAAAGACCTTAGCGCTAGCGCATTAGCCGATCCCGCCAACAAGGACTGCCTGGTGAGGATCTATTTAGGGTCCATGAAAGGGCACACGACCTCCTTTTTTTCCTTGCGAAATTTTAAGCTTCACCTCAATCAAATGATTGACATCGGCCTGGATTTCGAAATGCTTGCTGTGTCAATAGGACAAACCCTGGCCATCATTCACTGGGAAGCCCAAGCCGATGCCCGGGACGTCGAATTCGTCCTGGGTAGCTCTGCCACGGTCCTAGATAAGGAACAGACCAAAGATATCCATGCCAACGACAGTGTCACAACAATCAACAAGCCAACCGAAAGCTTTGTGCGCAGAGAGACTCGCCTATTTGTCCTCGACTTTAATCAAGTCCGCAGGATAACCATGGACGATGAGGGAGTTGCCTGTGCCGTTGAGGCATTTTACCTCAACGACCCCTACTATCCCCGTCCCTGCGAAGAATCGAATATTCAGCAAGAGCTATGGAACTCGTTTGATCGAAGTTACTTAGGTACGGCAGATATCATCTTAAGGGACCAGGAAGAATACCGGGTGCTTCCTCGAAGGTTTATTTCCGGTGTTATTGAGCATACCGTTGAGAAGAGAAAAATGGCATCGGCAGCTGAGTAAGACGAAGCCGAGTGGGGCTGTATGCGAGGGTGATTCTGTGTGGAAGGGTGCTTAACGAAAGGAAGAGGCGTATACACGATTACAGTGTATCAGATAGTATACTCTCGGTGCTCAGGAATAGGCTGGTACTTGCAAATTCATGACATTGACCCTGGTCAATGCGGAAGAGTCTCGACTCTCGGAGATGGATGTGGTGTCTCCAGGATCGACGGAGCTTCCAGGCAGCACGGCCGGGCTCCTGAAATGTATATCAAGGCCAACTTAGATGCATCGTTGTAGGTGTTATGACCTGAAGCCTTCTTTTCGCGTGTTGCAGGGAAGGAGACTAACCTCAACAAGATCTCTGTCACTAAACTCATGTGGTATAGATATTGCCAGTAGATTATTGGAATCCTTGTATGAAGACACCCAATGAGCTGCATAAGCTGATGTCAGCGAACTCGAGTTCGAAGCCAATATACAAACCTCATTCCGATACATTGCGCAGTCACAAGTTATAGCATAAAAGCATATAACATGGGGCTTTGGCATGCACACCACGCCTCTCAGAGTTCATTACAGGATTTGAGCTAAGTTTCCCTTTCCCAATGACCATGTCTCAACCACCATCACATATGCGAGATTTATCACAGCAGATCTCTGCTGCCACGTCCGTCTTGATCAGTTTTCTCTCCTCCAATGCCCTATCAGAGCCATCTTTCCGCTCGGATGCCCTCTCGACAACCCTGGCATGCCCGAAGACGTACAGATCGCCCGCCGCAATCTGCGAGAAGCCGGCGCAGGAGCTTTATATTTTGGCCACTTATCCGAACGAGGACATTCGATGGCTAGCATGCAGCGTTTGTTTCCTGTCTCTCTTGCCCCATTAGCGTTGCTCTGAGTGACCAACCGTAAGTACTACAGTACCATGATTGCTCCAGTCTACGGTAGATATACCATTTCAAAATCGCGTCGTTACTCCCAGTGCAGGACACGAGAGGCTTTTCAGATATCGCGGAGGATGCTGGTGTGGACGAAGGACTGCTTCGAAGAATCCTCCGGGAAGCCATGACTAACCGGATCTTCTGCGAACCTCGCGTCGGTTTTGTGGCGCACACGGCGGCTTCGAGTGCTTCGATCTGGGATAAATGAACCCTTAGCTGGGTAGGGTATACCTCGGAAGATTCCTTCCCTGCCTCTGCAAAGTGTGGTGGAGCCTACTGAGGAGTTTGGTGCCTCGGAAGAGAAGATCCACTCTGGCTGGAACCTTGCTTTCAATACTGAGCTTCCAATATTCCATTGCCTGTCCGACTATCCCGAGCGCGTTGAAAGGTTTGCAGAGACTATGAAAGCCTTGACGAGCGCAGATGGCTACCATGTGCGCCATCTTGTTGACGGCTATCCCTGGGGACAACTTGGTCACGGAACTGTTGTCGACGTGAGTATTTCTGTACACACTCTTCGATTCGGACCGGGGTGCTAATGATGTCTTCTCAGGTCGGCGGCTCTTTGGGGCCATATGAGCATCGGACTCGCGAAGGAACACCCGAAACTCAATTTCGTGGTACAGGATCTCCCCGACTTTATTGCTGCTGGTCAGCAGGCACTCCCGCCGGACTTGAAAGATCGGATCTCTTTTCAAGCCCACGATTTCTTTGCACCGCAGCCCATACAAGCCGATGTATATTTTCTGCGATTCATTCTGCATGATTATCTTGATACCCATGCAACGACCATCATCAAGAACATCCTACCTACCTTCAAGCCTAACTCGAAGTTAGTGATCATGGACGGAGTCCTTCCTGAGCCAGGAAGTATGCCACGGAGCCATGAAAGGCAAATTCGGTGCGTTATGAACTGAGACTCTGCCTCTCAACATGAAAGTATATTGCTGACAAGAGTAAAAGCCTGGTGGATTTGGAAATGTTGACAAATTACAATGCCAAAGACAGGGAGTTGGGTGACTGGCGAAACCTTTTCGAGAGAGCAAATCCGAGGTTGAAGATAACCAAGGTAGTAAACCCTCCAGGAATTGTTAATTCAATCATTGAAGCTACCCTTGAAGGGACCCAATTATAACTCCGAATACCACTCAATCTGAGATTAAGAGGTGAGGTGCAGACTCTCACAGGATAGACCGGTAACCACTGGTAATCGCAAATGACACGAAGAACAAGGTACTGCTCAATGGAGATAATACTATTAATCGTCTTGGAAAGGCAGAACGTCATCCCCTAATACTAATTGTGGCAACCCATCTTTCTTTTCACTTCTCGTCCCTGACTAACCACTGCTCACGTACGTAGCACTTCCACCGGACTTCCACGGGACAAGTACTATGATCTTATGGCTCTCTGCAATTTGTCTTTCGCATCTAATTGAGGAAGGCAGATATCGGACCAAGACATCCAAAGCCACGCTTTGAACCAAACAGAAGCCTTTCAACACCTCTATGTAACCCTCTCCACTGTCTGTACCTCTTGAATATCCACATTTTTCTCCTGAGTGTTGAGGTGGCCAGTCTTTCCTTCTGCCGCAGCTTCAAATTCGGCTTTCTCCTGCTCAGTTGCTCCGTAGTAATGGATAGCGACCTGTTCGCCAAATTGAGCACTGATGTCTTCGAGAGATCTTCCCTTGGTTTCAGGGCACATAAAGTACACGAAGACGAGGTGGAAGAATGTCGGAACGATGAAAACAATGAAGAACTTCCATCCGATGTTGTTGAGTGCGGTTGGACCAGCGACAAGGATAATGATATCTGCGAGGTAAAGTCCTGCGATTGAGAAAGTGGTTCCTTGAGAGCGGATGTGGTTAGGGAAAATCTCAGAGACGTAGAGGAATTGGCTCTAGAGAATCAATCGTCAGTAGGGCAACACAACAAGAGATCAATCAAGCTGACGTACCGCGTCCATGAAGGTACTCCAGAATGGAGTGATGAAGAGAAAGATGAAGAAGATGGCCGCGTTCTGACCCGCACGGTTGTCGGTCCCCAGGAAGACAGCCTGTAGTGCAGCTTCACATATAAGGCATACGAGAATACCGCTCAGGCCGATCAGCATGAACAATCGTCTTCCAAACTTTTCGACAAAGAAGGCACAGAAAAGATTTCCCGGGAAGGTGCTTGTGAGCCACAAGCACGTCAACAGGAGAGGCCAATAGGATGTCATGCCGAGAGACTGATACAGAATGATACCATAGTTGGCGATGACCAGGACCCCGGTGAACTGGTTGTTCCACATGACCATGAAACCAATCAATGCTCGCTTCCGGTTCGCGGGAGTCTTGAACAGCTCGAACCTTGAGGTGTTTGCCGCCATGTGATGGTCCAGTTCTGTTTGCTTTTGGAGTTGATAGAATTCCCTCCGTGCAAGTGTGCTCTCGGCATCTTCTTTAGTCTTGTGTAGGCGGATCAAAACCTCCAGGGCTTCCTCGCTACGGCCCTTCAGCATCAGCCATCGAGGGCTGTACGGTAACCAGAAGGATCCTAGTACGAGGAAGAGAGCCGGTGCCATCTGGAAAGCAATCGGGAATCTCCATGGAAACGTTGAGGTTGAGCCTCCGGAAGTCATGAAGGATACGCCAAAGCTGATCCATGCTTGAAGCGAATAGCCGACTGCGAACATGACGCCCTGGGAGATATGTGTTAATCGGTATCCAAGAGAACCGAGCTGAATGATACTCACATGCATGGACACCATGAAGCCTCGAGACTCTGGTGTACTGACCTCTGCCTGGTAGATCGGGATGATAGCAACAAGGGTTCCAATTCCCAAGCCATTGATGATACGACCAGCAGTGAACATGCCGGTGTTGACAGACCCTGCACACAATGCTGCACCAATTATAAGAACTAGAGCTCCGCCTTGAATGGTGGCCCTGCGGCTATACTTGTCGGCGAAGTACGACGACGCAATTGCACCAATAGCTGAACCGGCAGCATTGACACCTGTGTTCGCAGTCAGTTAGATGCGCTTTCTCTAGAACTCGAATTCGACCTTGGTACGTACCATTGAAAGCGCCAATCCATCCGGCCGTTACAGAGTATCCAGGCTCCCCGGCTGCTGCAAGGCCGAGGCTTTTATAGAAGGAAGGTTGCCCAATCGTGCTGCCAATAATGGCCATGCCATAGGAGCAAGCTGTTGATCCAAGTGCGACATAGATAACCACGAGCAGGTTGAAAGCATTGGGAATGAGCTTGCCCATCGTGACTACGCAGGTCTGATCTGGCAGACCGATAATGCTCCTGGCAGCCGAGTGTTTTGTGATGAATTTGAAACGAGTTGCGGGAGAGACTGGGGAAGGGATTAAATACCGATGTTTCTCACCAGTATACAATCTGGTCATTTACCCCAGACTAATCGTATTGGGACGATTTCCTCGGTTACCAGGCGACTTAAGCAAGGATAGAAAATACGATGAAAGAGGCAAGCTGACGAGTGCTGACTCGAACCTTGTTGACTCTGTCACGAGTAGACTAATCTAGCCAAGCACGAGTCGAACCCAATATCTTGTTCAGAAAGTCTAGTCAAATCGGGTTCTAGCCCTCGGTTATCGATCCTGGGACGTTGGGTCTGAGTAGCCAGAGCAAGACATGGGGAAGCCCAGACCTGTATCGATTTCTGTGGTCTGGAGGCGAATTATGGCCTCGTTGTTGATGTGCCCCAACCGCTGCAACTCCTTTGTGCCTTCTATCCCTCGTTGCCCACCGTTGATCTTGTCGCACTCACCATGAAATCAGGCACTCAAGACGTAGCTGCATGTACTCGGTCTGGTTATAAAGCACTGTTCCGTCGTAACAAAGGTACAATCTCGATCTTTGTGAGCAAGGGTACAATTGAACAGTTAGCCGAACGTCCCTTCTTGTGACCGGTACCGTAGAACTGGTCACTATCAGTCCGTGATAGAACTATCCCAGCCCGCATTACTGAAGCGTCGGTTCCGAAAAATGTTAACCCATGACCGGATTTGACCCAGTTTCAGTTCCTGCTCCTGACATAGCAAACCACTTGATTGCGCCACGGAGAGAGATACTGGGAAGTTCTTGACTATTTCAGGATGGTAATGTCTTGTCTCGCCAGGGGGGGAGGAACTATAAGTACGCCCAGACCGCGCCGCCCAGCCTGTCTGAATAAGCTAGCGATAAGTGGATTGGGCTTTTAGGGTCTCCACCAGTAAAACTCCTCGGATTATCCCCATTGTAATTGTGGAGGGGAGCTCGCTACGCCTAGGCCAACGCTATTCCCAGGGTACCCAGAGGCCTCATGGGCACTACCCCGCGCATTGGGACCTTCTTCCCCCGAGGTTATGGTAGAATTTCCCCGCGTTTCGCTAGGTCGTCCGAGATTCATGTATCAGGCAACTCTTCGTGAGCCTGGGGATGTCTCGATCGCAGTAGTGTCGGCAGCTCTGCTCTAAACTGTCCCCACGATAGCAAGAGCAAGGATTTCACGGATGACCCATTCGGGAAATGAAATACAGCACTTGTCGCATTCACACTGGCGGCTTGATGTGTTGGTATTATCTTCTCCCCATTGCACACTTCCACCATCGCTCTCGATAGTACGATGATTGAATGGTCGTAGCTAGGAGACACTGCCTGAAAATAGATCTTAAGCTGAGCGTCGCAAATTATCTTCTTCCGCCCGTCAGCGTCGAGCAGCCTTTATGCATTACTTTCGAGCATCAAGTCGTATTCCCCGCGTAATCTCCTCGTAGTAGAACAACTAGGGGAATTGTCTGTCACCAACATGCTACACTTTCGTAGTCGTGTTTTCGCCTTATATCTTCGCAGGAGTTTTACAGTCATCGTTTTCAGTTACAGGACCGAGAAGCTCTTCCTATAACAGGAACGACAATATGTACGGAAGAGCATAGAATGAACCTTCATATGGCCAGTACATTGCGGAAGATCCTTCTACCGCTTAGGGTGATATGATGGACTAGGAAGACGGGCAGGTCACGCTGGAGTATGCAGCTTTGTGCCATGTGCATCTTCTCTGGTGTGTAAACTCCGTTCACTCCGACTTAGGTACATCCGAAGACTTCCGACTTCCAACGTGGTCTGATAATCAGCCCTTGAGAAAATCAAGTGTCATCACCAAGACACTACTACCTAAGGTGACGATTGAATATCAGAGCAAATCACGACATGATCATTCAATGTATAGCAATGCTTTTCCGCTGTCATCAATCTGTGATCGCCTTGATGCAAGGGTTTGGGGAGTGAACGTATAAGGATGCATCCAAGAAATCCGCGCATTGTCGTAAGCATAGACAATCACACCACCATGCTGTAGAGTATGTAGCAGTATGGTCATTTTGCCCCCCAAACAACCGCTGATCTGAGTCTCCATCCAGTGCAAAGCTCACAGTGCAGTCTATTAATTTCTGGCAAATCTCCCGCACGCGAAGAAGTAGCTGAACTGTGATAATGCCGTTTGGATGATCAGTTTGTGCATCGAATTCTGATGGCCAGCATGACGTCAAAAGTTGCCATTATTGGCATTGGTCAGGTCGGAGCTGCCACCGCTTATGCAATACTGCAACGCTCATTGTGCTCCGAGTTGATTATTGTCGACACAAAGACGAGTCTTCGAGAAGCTCAAGTGCTCGATCTTTCAGATGCATCTTGTTGCGAGGGCAGCGATACTCAGGTGCGGATCGGCAGCTACCACGAGGCTGGCCAATGTGATATTGTGATTATCACAGCAGATTCAAGACGGACAATCGGTGAGTAGTATGAAGATGTAATGCAAGTAGGGTGCGGCAGATTGGTGATGTTGACTATTCTTGGGCAGGGGAGACTACAATTCAGTCGCTTGAACGGAAGAATGCAAACCTTCGCACCATGATTGATGGAATGAAGCCATTCAACCAGAAGACAATTCTTCTGATCGTTTCCACCCCAGTCGATATCCTGACATCCGTTGCGCAGAGAATTTCTGGTTTGCCAACACATCAAGTAATAGGACTGGGCACTGCTCTTGATTCAGTGCGTCTTCGCAAAATAATATCCGGAAAACTTCACGTACGTTTTTGTCCCTCCTGTTCATCTTTGACACCCAGCTCCATCTAACATTCTTCTCCAGCTTGCTAGCAAGGAAGTCAAAACATATGTTTTGGGCGAGCATGGAAGCTTTCAATTCGTGCCATTGTCCTGCGTCTCAATCCATGGGCAACCATTGACTGGAGCAATGCTGCCGAAAAAGATCGATCTGGCAGGTGTAGCTGAAGAATGTAAGCACGAAGCGGATCGTATCGTTCAGGCAAAAGGCTCAATCGCCTTTGGGGTAGGCTCGGTTGTGGCAGACATTTGTTCCTCAGTCCTTTTGAATAGGCGTGACACCTGGAGTGTCAGCCATTATCAGAAGGACCTTGATTGTTGCTTAAGCCTGCCGGCTCTTATTGGGAGAAAGGGAATTGGGCTGACGGTGGAGCTACCGTTAACTGCAGAAGACAAGGTACATCTGGCGAAATCAGGAACTTCTATCAAGGAACGAGTCAATTGGTTATTGTCAGGAGAAGAAGTTAGCGGGATGACAATGTAATTTGCTGGGAGTTATTTCAACATAGTAGCAGGCGAAGCTTTTGAATCATAACATGCGGTGTGCTCCAATTACTATACTAACTATTTTAATAGCATTAAAGGCTCAATAATTAGATGGCCTTTCCGTTCTCACTTGAAAAGACATGTTTCTTAACTTCCAAGAAGCTGTCAGGGCTAACCGAGATAGAAGTAATGCCGCAACCAACGAGGAAAGCTGCGAATTCAGGGTGGTTACTGGGAGCTTGCCCGCAAAGCCCGATCTTTCGGCCAGCTTTGTTAGACTCGGCTATGACGGTTGAAATCATCCACTTGACGGCCTTGTCTTGTTCGTCGAAAAGATCTGCGAGCTCGGAAGAATCGCGGTCGACTCCCAGTGTCAGCTGTGTCAAGTCGTTGGAGCCAATGCTGAAACCGTCAAAGTATTTGGTGAATTCCCCAGCCATGATAACGTTCGATGGAATTTCGCACATCACGTAGACTTGTAACCCGTTCTCGCCTCGCTTCAGCCCGTGATCGGCCATGACCTGTAGAACCTTCGCGGCCTCGCCGACTGTACGGCAGAAAGGGACCATGACGACGGCATTAGTGAAACCCATGTCTTCTCGAAGTCGCTTGAGAGCTTTACATTCGAGAGCAAATCCCTCTTTGTATCGTGGTGAATAGTACCTGGAAGCGCCGCGAAAACCTAACATTGGGTTCTCTTCTTTCGGTTCGAACTCTGCTCCTCCGATGAGATTGGCGTACTCATTCGTTTTGAAATCGCTCAAACGTATAATTGCAGGCTTGGGATAGACAGCAGCACAGAGACAAGCAAGTCCACGTGCAAGTTTGTCTACGAAATACTCGGGTTTATCAGGATAGCCTTGGGTGAGGCTGGTGATTTTCTTTACGGCCTCTTCATCTTTGAGTCGGTCAAAGCGAACAAGTGCCATGGGGTGTACTTGTATATGATTGCTGATGACGAATTCCATGCGTGCAAGGCCAATTCCGTCCGCCGGCAGCCGCCACCATCGGTAGGCGGCAGCAGGGTTTGCAAGATTCAACATGATCTTCGTTCGAGTCGAGGAAATACTCGCAACGTCGAGTTCTTTTGTCGTGATCTCAGCCTTGCCTTCGTAGACAAAGCCTTCATCTCCCTCGGCGCAGGAGACAGTTGCGTCTTGGCCGGTATGGAGAAGATATGTCGCATTGCGTGCGCCAACGACGGCAGGAACTCCGAGCTCACGACTCACAATAGCAGCATGGGAGGTACGGCCTCCATGGTCGGTGATGATTGCAGCCGCGCGCTTCATTATAGGCACCCAATCTGGATCGGTAGTTTCGGTCACCAGAATTGATCCATCAATGAACTTGTCAATGTCCTTTGCACTCTCAATGAGACAGAGGCGGCCCGAAACTGCTGCCTCACCAACCGACAGCCCTGAAATCAGCACCCGTCCTTTCTTTCCCACCTTGTATGTCTTGAAGACGCCAGCTTCTCGTCGCGCCTGCACTGTCTCTGGTCGTGCCTGGACTACAAATAACTGATCCGTGCAGCCATCTTTGGCCCACTCAATATCCATCGCACAGCCATAGTGTTGCTCAATTATGACTGCCCAGCGGGCCAGTTGGAGGATTTCAACATCATTGAGCACAAACGATGCTCGTTCATGCTTTGAAGTAGGCACGTTACGAACCGGCATATGCTCATCGCCATATATCATCTTGATATCTTTCTCGCCCCGCTTTTTCTCAACGATGGGAACACAGTCGGGGCTGGTTAGGAGTGGCTTGAAAACCTGGTACTCATCTGGATCGACGGCACCTTGTACAACATTCTCGCCAAGGCCCCACGCAGCGTTTATGAGCACGATCTTGTTGAAGCCACTCTCAGTGTCTATGGAAAACATGACACCGGAACCACCTCGATCAGATCGAACCATTTGTTGCACTCCGATCGAAAGGGCTACCTTCATGTGGTCGAAGCCCCTGGTTTGGCGGTAGCTGATGGCTCGATCTGTGAACAAGGAGGCATAGCACCGTCGACATGCGTTTAGCAAGGCCTGCTCGCCCCTGATGTTGAGAAATGTCTCTTGCTGGCCAGCAAAACTTGCATCCGGTAGATCTTCCGCGGTCGCACTCGAGCGAACAGCTACACTGAGGTCTTTGGCTTTGGCTGTCTCGGAGAGTTCACGGTACGCCGATTTGATGGCATCAGCGGCGTCTTTTGGCCAGTCGCCTCGGAGGAACTGATTTCGAATTTCTTTTCCAGCTTCCGGCAGGCTTGCTTTTCCAGATTGCCAGTCCGCAATCAGCTTACCAACCTTGTCTCGGATTTGATTAGCCTCGAGATAGTACCAGTATGTGTCCGCAGTCGTTGCGAAGCCAGATGGCACTGTAATTCCTCTCCCGGCCAATGTGCTGATCATCTCTCCAAGAGACGAATTCTTTCCGCCAACGGAAGCAACATCCTGTCGTCTCAGATACTCAAATTTGCGCACGAATACTGGTGACTCTTTCATTATGGTTGTGTAATTCGAAAGTTAAGATTAGTATCGACAGCTCACAAAGAACTTCAGTCACTTATCTTGGGACTATAACTTGTGAACAGTCCTAGGCTTGTTGGATGATTCGGCTATTGTATATCGAGGCCTGGCATGCAGGATGCCAATGGAGCTCGTGGTTTCGTTCATGACGCTGTTGCCAACCTCGATCGTGAGTGGTCGCACGCAAATCAGGTGAGAATCGCGAGTTACAGCGGAATGAGGCGGACAAGTGGCTCTGGTGGCGCTTCGCCATCAGACCACTAGAAAATCCCACCAGTCTTCTTTGAGTAGGTCCACGAGGCCAGTACTCGTTGATAGATGGCATGCTTCGTCCCGCGGCAGTGTCGAGCTGCATGTGATATGTGTTTGAAGTACCCTTGCGGAGAAACTTTAGGATAATCGAAATAGCAAAGCAGCAAAAGCTTACCATAGCGATCCCATCTCTGTCAACTTCTGTGAGAAGGCATCTTTCGGCTGCAGCTAGCAGATCCTTCTTGACAGGCAGCTCGTCTGCTTTATGAAGGACGGCTGTTGCTGAACCTCTTCGGGTCAAAGTGTTCTACCGCCAATGTTCGAGTTACGTAATCAGACGCAGCCTAAGGAACCGCCGTGCTGATTGATTGTGGTTGTTCGCATTGCAAGCGTGATTGGAGACCTTTAGGCGGTCGAAGAGCTACCTCCGAGGTCAATCGAAGATCTCACGGGCATATCGGTACAGAAATCCTTTCATGCACTAAACAGTACCCAAAAGGACGAATCACTCAAATTTTCGCTATTATTGGCCATCTCATCTGCATTGATTCCAGGCAGCGCAACAATATTCACCGTTGGTCTCTTGCATATTGGACCACGATAGACAGTCACATGATGAAGTAGTGAGTAGATCTGATAGCCATGTTGAGACAAGATGACTAGATTTGGACATTACAAGTTGGAGACTTGTTGAAAAAATGAAACAAATATTCGCTGCATATGTGCAAAATGACCTACAGCCAGGGTCCCCGCCCAGTCAACATACATGGAAAAATGATACAAGTCAGTAAATTCCCTTGTGGATTGAATCCGCACGGAGTAACCCTACATAGTAGGCACAATAAGGCCCATCATACAGGGTACAACGACCGGAACCTGACTTCAACTTGGCAAATACTACGATTTTTCTCATCATGTTTTTCTAGTTGGGGGTCTAGACCTGCCAAGATCAGGCGTTACAGAGCACATAAATTCAGAACTAGTTTGATTGAAGTCTTTGATCATTCATGGGGGTGAAGAGCACGCACAGACATACTTTGCAGCAATAGTATGGACAGCACAGGCCTCGATTAGAGGTCTAGGCCAACGCGCCTGTCAACCGTGCACTGCGGAGGTGAGCATTTTGCACAGTAAGCACCTGAGAGTAGGACAGGAATAGTTTGACTTCGCTACGGTCCTCCTTGGAATGGTCAAATGTAGTATAGCTATGAATGCAGAGGTCGTAGCACGAACGCTATGGAAGGAACACAGGCATTAGCGAGTAAAACTAGCAAATCCATGCAAAGCTGTGTTGGACGGGTTTCCATGAATCGAGCAGAAAGCACAAATAGATCTCATTGTTCCCACAAGTCTCCATGCTCTTTGTCATGTATATTGCATAGCTTCACAACAAACTCGGAATATTCAACCCAGATACACGATACAACTAGTCAACCAACTCTGACTCACCACCGGTATAATGCATTCCTTATCTCGCTTTGCGGCTCTCCTCTCAACATTGGTGGCAGCGCTCTTGCTCCATGCCGATCCCGCTCGCGCAACGCCACTAACCTCGCACTCGGCAACTCTCGTTGCCCGGGACATCTTATCAGACCATGGCTCTAGTTGTACTTACTGGACTGATCAAGAGCCCAATGGATACTACAGACTCAAGATCAAATGCGACAAGGTCGGTCGTGGCCTAAAGGTCGCCGCGCGTGTGTCCTTCAATAACATGATATTCGCCACTGAATGGATAGACTACAACAATCTGAACCAGGTCGTGCAGAGTGCGTCATACAACTCGGACAGGCGGGTTGAAGATCTTAACTTCCAATGGTTCTTCGGCACGTCCGGTATGCCAGATATGGGCAACTGTAACTCTCAACTCGTCGAGGTCGAACAGATCATCAAGAATGCCTGGTATAATTCCATGACCTGTACCGATATCAGTCCGTACCTCAAAGTTCGCGCGGTACTGGACTTGCCGGGCGCGGCCATTAATCAATACTCGGAGTGGATTCAAACCCCTGGGACCGTCAATACTCTGGAGCGCGAATCTTGGTTTGGCAAGCCCAGTGCGTATGCTCAATGGACTGTGAGAGATGCATGATTTCGAGGGCCATGGGAAGTTTCAGAGATTGGTTTCGGAGATGCATCGAGAAATCGCCGGGATAGATGGAGTTGGCGTCGACTTTCGAAGCCCAGGAATCTCTTTTTCAGGAGCAAGAAGCATTGGCACTTTGAAAAGAATGTGACCAGTATCAGTTGCTGCGACAAGTTCAGATATGTGGCAGTACTGTCAACTGAGCTTGTGTTACTTATTCTGCTCCTCTACTTGAGACAGCAGTCGTAACCTCTTTTGGTCTGCGATAATCTTCAGCTTGTCCAACTCCTCTGTTCTGTGCTCAATCTCCCTCCTGACCTCCTCTTCTGAGGCGACACGGTATTTTAACCGGAGCACGCACGCGGCGAAAAGCACAACTCCCAGTTGAACCGTAATGCCCCATTGACCTACAGCCCGCGGACTCTCAGTCGGTGCGCCGTCTTGGTGAATGTAGTGCTCGATCCAGATGATGAACGCGATTACCGTCAGAGGGCCAAATAACATTGCAGCAAACAGGACCAATATGACCAGAAGATCAAGGCTGAATAAGAAGAGAGGATGTTGGCGGATTGATGTATGGTTGCTATTCCATTGTCTTGGTGTTTTCAGACTTAGAGATGTCTGTGGGCTGCGCAGGAAGTTCATGAGGTGCACCCATCCTCGCTTGAAGTCGCCGTTGAAGCTCTGCCAAATCTCTTTTCTCCTAGTCCACAGCTGTCGAGGCTCGTAGATGGGAACCCGCTCTGTACAGAATTTTAAACGGCCCATGGCCAACAGGAACAGCTGCGCCGCGGTGAAACTGGTGATGGCGGTATAAATCAAGGGCTGAAAATCATCGCTTCCATAGCCAGCGTCTGTATGTAGTTTGGCTCCTGGGGCATTCGGAGTCAATGCGGATGCTTTCAGGGAGGTCGCTTGCCGCAATATTTGAGATGTACTGAAGCAAGGATACATGCAGTTCGAAGTGTAGTTGAACCACAAACGATTGTCAAGAAGAGGTTGCCCAAAAAGTTTCCACACGGTCTGGTTCCAGGTTTGATCCCAGTAGTGCTTATCCCAGCCATTGCTGTTCTGGAATGAATCTCCGTCGTCGACATTGGCATAGCAGAAGCGATACTGGGCGGGGGCAACATTGAGATGAGGCCAGAGGATGAGAACTGATATTGATGCGGCAAGCATGACCAGATTCCATACCAAGACCAGCCTATGGAGGACTGTACTTGCGCGGGTGATTCGTGACCAGCATTGCAGTGGCAGGCCCACGAGATAGGCGGTGATGACCACACTGGTCACGGCATCGATGTCGAGTTCCAGGTAATCGGGCTGGACTTCGACATAACTTCTGTTCGTGACTAGAGCCTTGATGCCCGCGAAGTAGCCTGTCAAGTTGGTGCTGGAAATGTACGGAATCGTTACATTCTGGACAGGTGCCGGGACCAGCCTCGCAGAGAGCAAGATGAAGGTTTGAACGGCTGCAGTGGCAGCGTAGGCGACAGCTGCTCCGAGAACGGCATGCGCCAGCCAGCCATACCGAGGAGCCCAGAAACTCAGGAACAGGCACACGTAGTAAAGGTATCTCGGCGTTGGGCCGTAAGTGTCGCTGATTGGGTAGACACAGGAAATCTCCTGCGCAATCAGAGGAGGATTGTAAGTCGCAGGAGAGTTAAAAGTGGCCATGCTGAGAGGGGCAAGACGGTAGCGGAATTAGGCAGCGGCTGTCTGAGGGTTACCGAGACTCGACATGGAGATGCACTGACTGAACATGAATCAGTATTGGACAAAGTCGAGAGTATCTTTTCGACATTATTAGAAAATGTTAAGACTCGAGTGTCCGTCCTTCGTCAGTAGCACCGGTGAAATGTTGGTTTTGACTTTTTCTCTCTCTTTCTCACTGCTCCAGACGACGACGACGTCACTCAACTGGAGCTGTTAAAGTCTTAAGGCGCCAAGACGCTAAGCTACCAAGGTTGGGGTCTCTACATATTTTCAGGCCATGATACGGATATATGCATCTTATCTCTCGCGCTGAGCACATCAGAGCAGGATATCAAAAGAATCGAGTATATTTCGGCCTTGAATGAGCGAAGCAGCGTGAAGAAATGGCATTGTTATCAATCTGTCCATTACTCACCAGAAGTTTTTCTATCACGTTGTCCAATCTGCCATGGGTGAACCGAGATGGCAATACCGGTATCCTCTGTCGTCTTCGGCATTTTTATGTAGCTGATATGTTTCAAACTGCGCTACTGTTGAGCACGAGAGCTGTAAGATCTGTCGCCGGCTGAGCCTGCACATTGCTGGCTAATTCGAAGCCACTCACGGCACCTCCAAACGGCCAGGAATCGAAGGCTGTCCTTTAGTTTCGCTCGGAAGTCGTCCCAGTCGAAGAAGGTCATTTGAGGATTATCGTCAAATAGAAAGTCGGCGAGATCAAGTTGAGGAGATGGTTCTGATGGAGGGATAATCGGCATTCGTCTTCCTTTTCGTCTTAAATCCCCAGTTCTAGGGTTGCGGGTCCAGATCTCCAGAAATACTTCAGAGATTCGTCCTACCCACTGGTATCCTTTGAACATCACTGGGCCGTAATCTCCCTCAAGAGAGAACTCTCTTGCTGTAATCTGAGCCCCCTCCTGAGGGGTATCAAGTTCGTCACAGATAGCCAAGTCGAAATCAAGTGGGCATTGGTAATCTGGGCTTTCTGTGATGTTGATGAGAACGGCCATAGAGCACGCTGGTTGACCGACAAGCCAGAGTCGAAGGTCATCCTGAAGATCGTCATACTTTTGAGAGAAGCCAATCTCAAGGGCCCATTTAAGCTCATCTTGAGTATTGTCGTCATTTCTCACAAAAATTCCGATATCTGGGGTTTTGATTGAACTCCGATACTCTTCGGTAAAACCATTCACTCTAAGATTTGTACATATCGTAATTCGATCACGCTGAGTCTTGGAAAAGACTTGATCGAATAGACGAATAAAGTGTTGATAGAGAAAGCCGACTGTAATTTCGTGTATACGGGAAGCCATGGTGTAGATCTTGAGAGTTGAAGTCGCAGAGTTATATGAGAATCTAGGCCACCTATAGAACTGAGTTAGTAAGATATTACTTCACAAATCAACGAGATTAGAAGAGAGCGAAGAGCAAGAATAATCGTACTTTTCAGATTCCGAACCGTCAAGATCGAACTTCGCACAAAGACTTGACCACTCGAGCCCTGATATTCTGCAGATAATGACTTTTTCGAAGTTGAAGTCAATATCTCTCAGTTGTGGGTTGTATAGTTGCTGTAGATATCTACGCGCTTGTTCAAAGCCAGTTGAAGGCTGTTGTGTGGCTGCTAAGAATTGTTAACGGCTGATATAGGGGAGAGCGTAAAGGTATCCTGACCATGCCGCCGAGATACAAGCAAGCCCGAGCTACTTATACAGCGTTCTGAATCCATTTTTTGAGACATTGAACAAAGCTTGATGATATGATGGTGAAGTCAAGTCTCGCTCCCCAACAAGAGAGAAGGTCAGAGAGGGTGCGGTTATGCCACGCTTGTCGAAAAGACTCAAGTAATAAGAGACAAGTCTTATTCTTGAAGAAAGAGACCCAAAAAGGGGACTCGGATTCAGAGATGGGATGAAAATTGTGAGACGACAAAGGACAAAGGATGCGCTCGGTGAGCTACTTATAGCTCTAATAGAATTTCGAGGGGCCCAGGCTCGTGGCGGAATGTTTCATTCCTGGCCGCGTCAACGCATTCCAGATAACGCAATTTCCTGCTTCGTAGCGTTAGGAATGCAAGATCACAGTCTCGTAACTCTCTTACATGCGCACTCAGTCGCCTCGAAGACTTCCGGTACCATGTTCAAGACAGGGTGAAAGGGGATTGGAGTCAGCGACTCAGAGCGATGGCCCTAGGCCGAAGTTGAGCCGGAATAGAGTCGGCCCAAGTATTGTGCTTTGCAAAATTCCGTAAAAACCTTATTTTTTTGCAACATACAAAACATTCAACAATCATAAAAGCGGTGAGAACACAACGCCATATTTCTCAACAACCACCCTATAATTTCATAAATATTATATGATAATCTTACTCCGGAGTAAATTCTCTATCTAAGTATCTAAATTTTACTATATAAAAAGGCGTGGTTATGATGCTATTATAGCTAAAGTTTAATCCTGCGGTAAAAGTAGCTATGTTAATTGCACTTCGGGTAGGAGTGAAAGGCACAGCCATTATAAAGGCTTAAGGGGTTTCTAATGCCTATATTTCCAAAGTTTAACGGGATCTACACTATTAAGACATTAAAATAAATGATATAGCACCTATTAAAGGTTATCTAAAGTTAATTCATCATGCCGCAATGAAAGGACTTCGTGATTTTATACTAGATTAGCTAATAGCGCGGCTAAATAAGTGCTATGATTTTCTCCGCGATAAGTTTAGTATTAACGCTTATATATTAATAGTCTCTTAGGCACTTAACTCTATAAATGTCACGTATAAATAGGTAACTAGAGTTAATACTAGGCGAGACAATAAACTTATCGCTTTCTATATAGTATAGATAGCTAATTACACTAGTAACTAGCTAGTAACACTTAATGAAAGCGCCGTAAACAATAGAACTATAAATAGAAAGTTTGGCTAGTTAGCTTATAACACTTCATACTGAGTGTAACTACTAGGTAACCAATCTACTAGTTAGAGCATTTTACCTGCGATAATAATAAATAGGTGGCTCACTTATGAGGTCTATTAAGGCTCTTTTAACGCCAAACAATTCGAAACATTTCTCTAAGGAGTGCTTAACAAGATAAACCCCTTCTCAGGAGATTATTCCGTTCTGATCATGGATAATGCAACTATTTACCGATCTAATAGAGTTAAGCGAATGTGCGAGGAGCAGGGCATCATTCTTAAGTACTTACCTCCATATACTCTAGAGCTTAATCCAATTAAGATATCATTTCACGAGTTAAAGGAGTGAATACGAAAGAATAGAGAACTAAACTATTATTATAAGAATAGCTTTAATACCTTTATTTATTTAGTAATAACTAGTGTCTATAAGGCTAAGACAGCTTATAATTACTTCCGTAAATACGGCTATATTTAATGAGGCATAGTAACTAGTAGAGAATAAATAAAAAAAGAAGGGGCTATAGGTATTTTATCCTGTAATAATAAGCCTAGTCTATATACCTTAATCTATCTATTCTTAAGGTTATGTAAATATAGCTACCACGTGATCACACTAACTATAATTAGCTAAGCTATATACTATAATAGGTATAGTGTGAGATAGTAACACGCAAAATAATTCTAATACCATACTAAGTTATGTAATAAGCCCTTATTAACTACTATTCCCTAACAATATAACACTCACTAAACATCCATTTATACTATCATTAAAACCGTCTCCACTTATTATAGCTAAACACGTAAATTCCTTAAGGTTATTACGGATTTTAGTCATAAAACTAGCCGGAATAGTTATAGCCTTCTAATGTTTATCTATATATATTCGTAGATTAGAGAAGCCCCATTCATGATCTATAATAGAGAGCTTAATCTCTAGTAACTTAGACGCATAAATAGGATATTTAGTCGCTAGCTAATTAAAGTATTCCTACATGTTCTGATCATTATTACTCTCTCGTTATGGAGAGCTTAATTAAGGCCTAGTGACGGCGGCGGCGGCGGCAGCTATTAACGGCGAAAGTTAATAGACATATATAGGAGATTATACTAGGTAACTCATTAACAGGATTCCTCCAATATTAAGCACGAATAGATACATATAGTTTGGCGGGTAAATAGGCGGAGATTAATACATAGTATCATAGCGTTTCTCATTCCTATTCCGTTCTAAGAGAAGGGCCACCATGATCGCGTCCAGCACCTAGTTAACCATCACACTAGGAGCCTTCTTTACAATTATATTGCTTTAACGCTAAACTAATGATGTGAATAGAGGAAAATACTATTCTCCATAATTAACGTATAAACAAGAGTAATTCTTACAATTCTTTAACTTATAATAATGTCTCTTTAAGATATTAAGAAAGCTTACTTCAGCGGCGACCTCTTTTTGTGCCTAAAGTTATTTTTCTTCTCGTTATTATTATGTTATAGAGATTACCTTACTCTTTAATCTTTTATTTCTAGTCTTTTCCTTATAATAATAATATATTTAGGTTAAGTTAAGATAATAGCTTAAGGAGATATCATTATGAGATAATGATAATATCAAAACGTTCTCACTAAATAAGCCATATTAACTAGTTAGTTAACGTTATTTTGGCTTCTTAATAATTGAGTATACTAGTGCTAAATGCGCACTAAGTTCAGTCCTACTCTTATGGCTATCTTTTCGAGCATAATGAAGCTTTTACCACTTTTAATAGGCCTTCTCAAAGTGTTCCTAAGTCTTCATAGTTAAGGAATAAAGCTTTTTATTACCTTATTTAATTGTGAACTCACCCCTAAAGATAGAGGGGCGTAATTTATAAGTCTTTTAATTATAGTCATTATATTAATACTTAAGTTAACCTTTATACTTAAGAAGTGTGTTAACAATATTAAAACCCTAACATAATACTTCTATACTAAGAATCTTAACCTTCTTAATAAAGATTTCTATGGCGATATCATAGAAAAGTTTATTAATCTTAAATACTAATTTAATAGAGTCTGTATTAGTTAGGCTTAAGTCATTCTCCGCGGTATATAGCGAAGTATTTAATTAATAACTAGGTTACGCCAATAGAGGGGCTTACATTAATGTCTTTCCCTTCTCTTTATTATCTTCTCTAGCATTACTAAATATAGATAAGACTTTATTATCCTCATTAAGAAGATTTAACGCTTCCTATACTTATAACATAATGTTCTCCTTAATACTTAGTCTCGGTAGCAACTCTGGCGACTCTAATGACTCTGGCAGGTCAGGACTAACCGTTTAAGAGGGACAAGGGCTTAGAGACACAGCGCAACGCTTTGAACTTGCCCTATTAGCCCTCGTTACAAGGCTATCGCCGTCGCTTTTGCGCTTCATGCGAGCGTTACAAGTAACAAGGGTCTCGCGGAGTGATTGAGAGGCTAATGACTCCTAGAGTCGACGGGATGGAGTTATTGTGCGCCTTGTACGATTTGACATCATGTTTGTATATAGTTACGATATATTGCAGTAAATTACAGTGCTATCTAGGGCTATTGTGGCTGCAGGATGAGTTTGTTGATACAGGCCATATGGCGGTGTGCAGATTTCATACAACTTGCAAAAAAATAAGGTTTTTACGGAATTTTGCAAAGCACAATAAGAGCGGCGCGACGTGACGTAGATTAGATACGAGGTATGTCTCTTGTTCGCAAGGGCCTTTAGGTGTTGAACACAGATTCTTGTACTCATTGCTCCACTCTCAGAACCACGCTTGCCTGCCACTTACAGTAAGTAAGAGCTCGTTCTGAAACTTGGCAGGAGCCAAAGAATGGTATCGATATTGCTCTCGCTAGTTTGTCGTTCGGTGAATTTTGGAGTGGCGATCAGGTTATTTTTCTCAAGTCTTCGGGTTTCATTCGAGAAGCCCGTCAAGTATGGTGGCCCTGAATTAGCTATACACATAGTTTATAGTAGAGTTGACTTCGGAGGTCTCCCAAGACTCGAATCTCGAAGTCATAGACTAGCAGCTATAATTCTACTTTTATAGTGAGCAAAGATATCTAACCCCGAATTCTGCTGGGCCCGATGTCTACTCACATCCCGGCACCTCTCTAGATATGTCTAATGCCGAATTCCTTGTACTAGCACCTGGATCTTGCAATTCGCCTGGGAAACCTCGTGGGACCTAGTGAACTCGACAAGACTCGGACTTTGCATAGTAGCCTACTCTAATTCTTCCGGGAGTAACTGGTAAAGAATGCATGAGAATGAATACCGGCTCCGGCGTAGCAAGACATCTATTTCCACGCTATGAGCCCGAGAAGCTATCATTCACACCTTTTCGAATATCAATTCGCATCTTCCGCCTTTTGGTAGGACCAGAAAATGGTCCGTCATTGACATACTATCCTCTGTAGTCGTTGGCGCCACTTGCACCTTGAATCTCCGCAGTAATGTCGCAGTAATTAGCTTTAATTCCATTATAGCAAGGCTTTTCCCAAGGCAGGCACGAGGGCCAGTAGAGAACGGCATGAAAAGAGTCTTCATCTCGGTCGTGATTTGTAGGGGATCTACCCAGCGCTCAGGAATAAATGCATCTGGGTTGGGAAATACGGCCGGGTCACGCTGGGTGGTATAACATTGTGCAGACACCACAGTCTACGCGAAGATGACGTGTGGTTAGCTGTGAGCCTGTAAGAGAGGGTTCGAAATTCGAAACGCACCTGCTCTGGTATAAAGACTCCATTCAAGACTCGTCCGTCAGTAGGTACTACCCTTGGCAAACTTGCCGGAGCTGCAGGGTGTAGGCGTAGAGCCTCATTGATCACAGCTGCAAGCACGGGCAGGTCTAAGACATCGCTATAGGATGGCATTCCATTCGCCCACGGCTCTTGAGCTGAGAGTTCTGCGCGGAGACGCGATTGCCAGGTGGGATGCCGAGTAAGCTCCCAGAAGAGATACGTGAGAGTCGTGCTTGTGGTATCTGTTGTCGTGTGAGTCGATCCTCCCAAAACAGCAAAGATCATTTCACCCTACCTGTTCCTGCAAACACCAAGTTGCCAATTTCGGTGTGCACGTCGAAGTCTGTCAAGGCTTCGTCTAAGCTCTTGGGAACCAAGATCTTTGTCAAGAGATCCTTGCGTCCCGAGTCACGGCCATACTGTGCCACGTATCTGTCGAATGCGTCTACTCCATACTGAACACTGTCAGCATGTACGTCGCTGGAGGAAACAGACGGGACGATCTCACCTGATGAAGTCGATCTTTGGACTCTAGGAAACGTCTCAGTGGTGGAATCGGTAACCATCGAAGAACCTGGGACACTCCAAAGAACGCGCTTTCGATACTCGCCACCATGAAAGAATTATCCATGTCTACCAAAAAAGGAGGTGTTGACGTGGAGTCGAGACCGCCAAAAGATTGTCCCAGGAAGAGTTCACCTGAACCACGTCAGACAGCTGTGTCAAGGATGGCTAATGGTCATAGACAGGTTTAAATACCGATAATGTCAAAGGCAAGCAAACGGAATAGAAGTAACATATCTAATGGCTTGCCAACTCGACCATCGATAATTGCTACCAATTTCTCAATTTTTTGCTTGATGAGCGGCTCTGTGTTATTGAGATTAGACTGCGAAAATGCGTGGCTTAACAGTCGTCGTCGCTGACTGTGCTCTGTTTTGTTTCTCATAGAGAATATACCAATATATGGCTTGCTGAAATCATCATAGATAGGCGCTTTCATATACTGTGTCTGCTGAGAATATATCTCTTTCACAGCCTCAGCGTTTGCATAGGAAACCTCTTTGGGACCGACGCGCACTGTAGATCCGTACTTCTTGTGAAGGTTGTGCAGTGTGGTTGTGCGGCTGCCAGCCAAGTCGATAACAAGCAGCCATTTGGAAGTGACCTTTGCGAGGAGTGGTCCTGGAACTCGGCGGAGTGGCGAGAGAAATACGTTCTGTATAATCTGAAAGCAGTTTAGTCTTGCTGGTATCACATTGGCGGACTTTTGGTAGACTGACTTGCCATAGTAACACTCCTGCAAGAATGCAAGAACACGCGATAATATAGATATACATGGTGTATGCTTGGGTTTTCCCAACCTAATAGCAAGCTCACATAGTAGAATTACGAAAGAATCCAGTGAGGATTTATTCCTTTCCAGTCCCCACGGCGAATTGCACTCTTCTCCAGTCCTCCAGAAAACTACCCCAGATCCGAGTTCTTGGGAAAGTGCTAATGCTACTTGGCAGCCTGCAGCTGTATGTGGCAGAGTGTCAGTGAAGGGCCGACATGTCTAACCCGCCCACCGGCTATCAGTCGCTACTCCAACTCGGAAGTCTTGGAGAGTTCAACCCACCTCCACCGGGTCAAGGTTTGTACCGATCTTTGCTGTATCCAGACTCTACAAGAAGGATTGCCGGGAACATGAAGGATGTTTTGCCAGACACTTTCCAGTCCAAAGAGTAGCTATCGTCATAGGCATCAAAAGCCATAGACCAGTTCAAATCCGCAACCGGCAACTGCTAGATAGAGCACCACCTCAGGACCAAAAGGTTTGGTGACGGCGTCGGTGTGGATAGGTGATTTAAGGACCTATAGGTCATATGAACCTTGATGTTTACATTATGATGTATGATTTCGCAGGCAAGCTGGGGTACTCATGCTGGTACACTCAGGACACAGCTGCGTCAGTTCCTTTGCAGTACTGTGGCTTCGAAAATGGGTGTGTCCATTAATAGACCTATGGTCTTTGCCATTTCTTCACAGCATGGCCATGGCATCCCGTCAAGTTCCTGCTTGAACTGAAGCAGCATCTTTCTCACTCCCTTGGGTTCCCCAATTTGCACACTGCTGAAAGTGTGTTTTGCCCAGAGAACAAGACCGGCATGGAAAACGACGATTGGCAGCCATATCGGACATAAACAACCTCCCGAGACAAGCTGTGACCGCATTGCTGCGCTATCCAAAACAAGCCAGGCCAGACGGACTGCTTCTTCTGATACCGAGAAGGCATAGCTCGAGATGGGCGGTGTTCTCGCATCCGGATAGCCTGCTAAAGATGGCAAATTTAGCACGTGAGGACAAGTCAGGTATAATCTACAGTAATAGTAGAATGCCATAATCTCAGCCGACACACATTCATGGACTTGGCGATACCACCTGTCCAAAGCGAGGGACAGAATATTCTCCATGCGTTCCAACTCGGTATGTGAAGAAAGAGGAGCGAAGGGGTTCCCTCTGCGAGCCCTTTGATCTGGCCATCTATCAGTGTGGACAATTTGTCCCAGGGAGGTTCGGAGATAGATAAGATCAGAGACTATAGCCATCAGAAGAAGAAGAGCATCTTCATCGGAGGTGACCTCCAATAATGCGTCTGCCGTGATACAATTACATCTCTGATCGATCAGAGCTCCATAAACATCTTGAAACTCGGCTTTGGAGCCTGGCATTGTCGTCCAAAGTTCTCTTGAACTAAATGTGCTGACTGGTGGAAAGAAGTGGAGAGCGTTAATGATATCGATCAGCCAAATACAGCAGATGAATGCTTCACTGTCAGATATATCAGTCAGGATAGACGATAGAACAGCCGTTCACTGACCTGCTCGATGGCGCAGAGGTACTAAGTTGCTCTTCCACCTGTTTCGGATCATTGAACCGCATTCGACGTGCAATCTGTAGTATTAGCAGGAACACCTTCTTCTTGCAACGTATTTTCTTACGGTGGCGGCAGAGCATAAAACAACACCAGCCTTGGTTCGAACTGAGTTGTCTAGGCTCAGAACTGCGTACAAATTACACAGAATCGCCTATAGGAAGGGCAGGTTTGTGAGCTCAAAGTCGTTCTCCTTGAAAAGCGTCCTTACAGCGATTAGTAGCTCAACTGAGCGGGCTTCTCTGTTATCAACTTCCATCGTGCTGCCCCAAAGACCCTGAGATGCCAGGCACAAATCCCTTGACATCGTAATGTTCGCACCGGCATGAACAGACGCCACGCAACCGATTGCGAAACACAACGGTGATGTGATGTGATGACGTGTTGGTGAAGGAATAGGCAATCGGCCAAGGAAAGGATGCGTCGAACAGCAACTAGCAAAGACTTCTCTGAGATAAGCCAGTTTGCTGGACGATGGGAGTTCGTCGGGAAAGTCTGACAGTAGAGCTAAAGGGTAGGTATATTTTCTCTGCTCTCTCTGCTCATAAACCTGACAGAGCATGAGAAAAACATCACATGTGGACGTGCTCACGAACCTCAAGGTCTAGATGCATAAGAGACTTATTGTCCAGGGCGTCAGAGCTTGCTAATAGCGATGTCCTGTAGTGTGACATGAACGCGGGCTCGGGCAATTCGGTAGCCTCTCGAACATCGTGGCAGGATGGATCTCTTTCTCCGGGCCAGTTCGACTCGAGATGTGTATTTGTGAGAGCCCGTTCCATCGAGATTGCAAATATTGTCATGAGATGGGATTCTGCAGGTCGCTTGTTGAGAAGATTGCAATCTGCCTGGTGCCAGAACAACACAGGCCAAGGCGAATACCTACTCGTTGTGTCATGCAGCCCGGTCAGCCTCACCGCGAGTCTCAAGTCTCTCACTCATGTTACTCAAGCCTTCAAGCGTGGCATAATCTGGGAAGCGCAATCGGATCCGTTGGAGTTGGATCATAAAACTGCAAGCTACCCCAGCTTCCGACATGCATTCTACATTCTCACTTACTAAGCACCCCAGCTTCCGTGCTTCCGTGCTTCCGTTGCCCCATGCTGTTTGGATAAGCCACTGGTGTACCCCAGATTTCAGCATGTCTATTCAACCCCAGGCTTGTTGAGGTCAGTGAGATTCGCGCAGCACTGAAACAGCCATATCACACGGCCTTGTATCAGTCTAAGCTATGAGATGACGAGGAAGCAGGCCCCGGACAAGAAGGTCAGTTACAAAAATTGCCCAGTGAGGCAACGGATTCTCGCTGTTTTGTTTCGCCCGAAACTTGCACTGACGCTCTTCTAGTGCGACATCTGCGGGCGCACATTTGCCCGTAATGAGCATTTGGAACGACATCGAAGAACTCGTGGGTGGAACCATCTTTAGCCAACACATGGGCCTTTGAGACCTCGTCTAATGTCGAATCCGTCCCAGATACAAGAGAGCGGCCTTATGATTGCCCATACTGCCAAATTAAATTCCCTCGTGCTGATGTTCGCGAGAAACACATCAAGCGATTCCACACCACAGAAGCTCTCAAGAATCATGGGATTGAGAAAGTCAGACCTGTTCAGTACGAACGATCTAAGCACGCATGCGACCGCTGTCGGAAAGGAAAATTAAAATGTAACGACCAGCGCCCTTGCAAGCCATGTTGGACACGAGGACTACCATGCATTATCTCATCCCGCAAGATAGAGCCTGGGAGGACGGCAATCCGCGAAGTAGATGCACTTGCATTTGCGGATGATCTGAACGATTGCAGCGTGATTAACATCTCCGCCTTCCCAGCAAGTGCCGAGTCGATGGAGCCTCATACTAGCAACTGCCTTACTGAATCAACTGCATCTGCCTTTCACTCAAATGCTCCAGATAACAGTGAGGTTGGGTTGCTAGAAGAGCTACGCTCTGTGCTACCAGGGCCTTCAGCCGCCTCAGTACAACGCTCGGCATCTCCAGCAGGGCAAGAGCAGGGGCAGACTCTTCCCTCATCCAACTTCCACACTTCGTTCGGCCACGATATGGGAGCGAGTTTCGGGGACATTAGCACCACTGAGTGGACTCATGGTGATTTTCAATTGATGGATGACAACTGGGAACTTCCTCTGCTTGTAGGTTCTTCTCCACAAGGCGCGTGCTATAGCCGATCTAACAAATATCAAAGGAGGTCGAAACATGGCTTCAAGATCTTGGTAGCCCCAAGGAAACCTTTTGGACCCAGTCTCAGCCGTCCTTGTCTAACAGTCGGCGAATTGACAATGCCGTTAAAATCATGCAGGAACACTTTCAACGACGATCGCGCGGCTCTAGTCCAGCAATGAATCAGCCTAAACGGCTATGGTATTCAGCACCACCCCTGCTTCAGATGTACGATAAAGAGGTCATCAATGTCCTTCTCAACCTTGCCCGACGCCATCTGGGTACAACCTTCCGCGTTTTCGCTGATTTTCAAGCAACTAGAGATACTACCCACGAGCTATGTCTCGCGATGGCCGCGGTGGGCGGACTCTATTCCATTGTCAAGGATAGTGCAACCATTGCAAAGTCTTTGTATAACGATGCACGAAGAATCCACCTTGAAAAGATATATTCGTGGGCGTCGCCTTCGTCTTTTGACATGGCACTCAATTCTGTTAAAACATTCATCCTTCTGGCTATTTACGGAATCTGTAGCGGCGACAAAAGGAGCTACGAGTTCGTTGAAGTCTATCACCTCACCGCAACGGATGCAATCAAGCACTGTATACGCATGGCGCCAACAAAGCTTGAATCGGCCCAGCACCAAGAACTGTTATCAACCTTCGAAGCAGTAGACATTCTGGATTGCTATTTTGTAGTCCTTCTCCAGCGCCCTCCTTATCATTTATCTCTGCCACTTGACCGCAGTCAACAATTGTCCGCCTTCAAACTCGACATGACTGCGCTACTTCAACCAGACCGCCCGCTCACGTCCATCTGCGGCAGCCTGCGCGAAGTTGCAGTCCTGAGCATATACACATGGGCTGCGAGCCCCCGAGGGCGCGAGTACTCACGTGTGCAGCAGCTGTGGAACCCAAACTTCATTGAACTCGCCTTGGAACGCTGGGTAAATTCAATCCCATCTTCTATGATGATGTCGGAGCTTCCATCCATCTTGATCTATCATTTATCTCATCTTCATCTTCAAGTCAATTTTGGGATTCTTCAACGATTTTCTCACATCTTCGTGAAAGTACCAGACGCCCCTTCGGAGAAGAAGATCTTTGATACGATACGCGAGTGTATCTGTGCGCCATCTTTTAGGGCTGCCGTATGGCATTCTCATGCCATTATTCGCGTCGTCAGGGAGATGGTTGCGGCATCTGGGCGACGGCAGCTGCGTATCTCAGAGCATGCTCACATATTTGAGCCTCCACACCTACCATATTGTATTTATTTCGCTACACTAGTGGTATGGTACCACGAATATGTCAAGAGTGGACTTGTCTCCGCAGCTAGGGAGATGTGTCTAGAGAACGGTATACATCTTCTGAGTATGCTCAAAGTTCAAGTGGCGAAAGTGCTCGCGAACGCGCTACGCGAGCTTTTCCCCCAGCAGATCATCTAGAATTCTAAGGAGCAATACAATGCAAGCATATGAGAAATGACTAAACTGAATCTGACCATATTTTTCACACTGTCAGCAACTTGTTTGTTGCCAGTCTGCCGTAGGTTGCACTATGAAAGTCGCTGTATCTTTGAATCTTCCGATAGCCCTCGGTATTCCTTCACAGATGCTCCGACTACCTCAAAGACTGGAATCTCTGCAAGGCGACTGACAACCTGGTGAAGAGTCGGCAACGCTTTCTGGCCTATATCATGGATCCCGAATCGAGTGCTGCTCACATCTGCTGACTGTAGAGACACTGTAGCCATGTCCGTCTCAGGAGCATAGAGGATATCATATTGGGCATCCGGTTTTCCAACCTCCGTAGACGGAAGATACTTGTGCACGAGTAGGCCTTGGCCTCCATCGACCTCAGCTGGGTCTTTAGCAGAGGCCTGTAGCCCTGTAAGCTCAAGCGCAGCCCACTGAGCGCCCTTCCATGAGACCTTTGCTAGATAAGATGTCGAGTCTCTCGTTACCTGGATGTCTGAGAACATCGTTGGCAATCCGAGCTCCTCACGCCCAGTGGTGATGGTATCGGCAAGATTCTCGAATAAAATCGGGCAGAACGTTCCTTTTATCACCTGGTCATCTGCAGTCTTGTAGCAGACGCCGTAGACATAGAGTCCTAGCGAGTCGTATCCGTGTCCTCCGAGCCAGGTCAGATTGCGTCTCGAATCCAGAGAGAATGAAGCATATGCAATCGTGTCCATTTTGTCAAAATAGTAGCGTCCATTGGGAAAGAGGTTGCGAAGCAGTGTCGCACTCGTCTTGAAGAGAATAGTAACACTGGTTCTTGTGGGCTGAAGCAAAGACTTCGCGGACAAAATAGAATCTTGTCCAGGCGCAAATGCAGGCCCAAACACCGTCGGCTGCCGTCTTCCCTGCTTCGCTGCGCGAGTCGTCCAGACATGGTCCCTGAGCAGCTGTGTCGATGCGTGCACTTCGTCATGACTAAGACCGTAATCAATGTACTCATGCACTGGCGTTCTGGTAAGCCTAGAAGACTAATCAAGCAGGCTGGCGGCGAGTGAAAACACCAGCTTACCTTTGAACGATGCCACACTTTGCTCTCCAGTGCCCGATTGCTTTATACTGTCCTCTCCAACTTGCCGACTGAACTCTTGAATCGTCGAGGCACGCTCGTAGCGTGCTTGATTATATAATTGGAGGCGTTCCGGAACTTCCTTCGGTGTGACACTCCCGTCAAGCATGATAGCTAGTGAAACTGCATCTTCGATTGCCATTGCGCCACCCTGAGCCAGATGGGGAGTGAAAGGATGAGCGGCGTCTCCAATCAACGCGAGTCGCTCAGCCGCAAATGTTGGAAGTTTGTCCATATCAAAGAAGGGATACACCTTGATCTCTCCCGGATCGGCCTTGTTGAGCAGAGCTAATACATGCGGATGGAAATCCTTGTATACATCTAACATTGCCGATTTTGAGGCTGCGTTATCATAACTTCCCGTCGTCTCTGACAGGTGTGCGGGGTGGATGCAAACGAAATTCAAAAGCGTGTGGTAAGTAGTCGGGTATACCACGATTTTCCGGTCAGACGAATACCACATTAGCATGTGGCCATTCGGTTCAATGAGCGGTCTCAACTCGGGATCTTCGAGGACAACCTTCCGCTCAATGATGAACCGAAAGGCACTGGAGCTTGTCTTGAAACTTGCCGGAGGAGGACTAACAATACTCGCCCGAACCTTGGAATGGACACCGTCAGCTCCTATTACGACATCAGCTGAATATGAGGATCCATCTGCTAGAGTAATAGTAGCAGTATGGATATCGGCGGAAACAACGTGAGAAGACGTGTAAATTTTTACTGGCACGCCTTTCCCTTCCTCCGAAACTGCTGCCCTCCGGAGTTGGGCATGATAATGTGCACGATGTGCTTGAAGCCATGGCTGTTGGTTGGCTTTATTAGACAAGATCTAGTTCCTCAAACAAGATAAGAAAGACTCACATTCTGCCAACGACCTGCTTCCGCGGCGTTGTCTTTGATGCGCAATACCTCGTTATTGGCCGAGAGGAATACAGTCTACGTCAAGTCAGAGCTGATGCTGAAATGTTTCGTCATCGGCATACCTGGACCAACGGGACTGCACCACTGTCTCTAGGGTCAATTCCAATATGCCTCAGAACGCCCATTGCATTTGGGGTTACGTGAATAGCAGCTCCGATCTCGTTGGCGAAGCGAGACTGCTCGTACACCTTGACATGATGTCCCTGTTGTCGTAAAGCAATGGCTGCAGCCAGTCCACCGATTCCTGCACCAGCAATGATGATATGCAGCCCTCGAGCTGTGGGGTTGACTCTACCATTCTCCCCGCTGTCGCCATCTACCAATGTGGCAACCATAGCGTACGGCCGTGCGATTTTGATATTCTAGACTCGTGCGAACGCCAACGCAGCAAGTAACATCCATTATCCTGCTTATATAGAGTTACTCCGCTAAGGGACTATGCAAGGGGGTTTCCATGGCATGATGGAGATACGGCTACCTCCTTACGATGATCGGCTTTGGGAGTAACATTTCGGAAGCTGGGGTAGCAACGAATATGGGAGATGAAATATCGGACGGAGGAGCCGAAAGCACATTAGAGCTAGAAATCGGTGCGGCTCGGAGACACCTTTTTCCGGCGACTAATGTGGTTTATTTGGTCTGACCTACGGAGTACTTCCATGCATATCGGCCAATTTCTCCTTTGCGCTGGGCCAAACTGATTTTTCTTCCTCGCGAGACTGAAATGTAGGCTGATGTCAATCCTTCCTTTGTTCATACTATAACCTGTATAGAGAACGGGCACTTGTCTGGCTTGTAGCCAAACATGTCCCAACATGAAAGTCGTTATTGAGCCTCACAACCCCGATTGGGCGACGACATTTCTCAAAATACGGGAGCAGCTACGGCACACCTTGAAAGACGTGTCCATAGTATCGATTGAGCATGTGGGAAGCACGTCCATTCCCATGCTCAAGGCCAAACCTGTTTTGGATGTTGACATTATTGTCCACCCTCCGGCGCTCGAAGTCACTCGCAGGGCTCTGGCGGAGGCACACTACACTGATTGCGGAGAAATGAATGTCCCGGGACGATTCGCCTTCCGACAACCAGGAAATGCTCGTTTTGACGCAGCCCATGGTCCAGGGAGGAATGGAGAATTGCGTTATAATACCTACGTCATGATCGAAGGTTGCACCGCCCTGAGGAACCATCTGGATATGAAGAGGGTACTACTGGAAAACCCTGACTTACGAGAAGAATATAGTCGTGTCAAAACCGAAATGCAGAAGAGAGATTTTGAGAATATTGGCCACTACGTATCAGGAAAAACAGAGATATTATGCAAAATTCTGCGAACTGCAGGATGGACTGATGAAGACCTGCGTCCTGTAGTTAAGGTCAACAAATAGAACGGTAATTGTCCATTGGCATGGTGCAAGTAACAGGTCCTGAGGCATTTGAAGCAATGTTACTTTGGCAAACCAATTCAGCTTCCCGATAAAGAACGAGATTCGTTTTGTGTGAGATTTCGCTACTCATATGGTGATTTCCACAATCCTGCCTCCAACACGCACTCCCATAAGTTTAGCGAAACAAAATCGAATGAAGCATTCTTGTCAAGAGCTTGACCAAACTTCCGCAGGGACTGCACTCTCCAGATATACAGCTCTAACCCATCAACCTTACAGTATATGATGACCATGGTACTTCTTTTTTTACTGCTCCTCCTGTGGCGCGGTATTCCGGCCATTTGTGAGCAATGTGCGGCTGCTTGCAGCTGTTTCTGAATGGAGTCTTGGCTCGCTTATGTTTCTTGGCTTTTCTAGGCGAATATGTCATGACTTTAGTCTCAAATATTCCATACTTTAAAAGAATGAGATTAAAAAAGTATTCCAACCAGCTTCGGAAGCTATCCATCCTGCATCAAACACACTTTCACATGTTGTGGGCAGCAACTGGTCTCTATTTCAACTATTGACCAAGGTATCCGTGCTGAAACTCTTTTTCGCGATATTTATAGGGTCTGTGTCAATGAAGCCTTCGAGCTTGCAGAGCACGGACGGTGTCGGTTGCTTTTCAGGTTCAAATACGAACGCCACCCCGTACCTAAAAGTTCAGCTGACACCCTACTTCTTTTCTTCTGGCCCTTGACATTTTGGAACGGTCCTTGCAAACAACCGTTTGGCTGCGCCATTTCAACCATGATACATACGCTTTGCCATTTACTCCCTAGAAGAAGAGAGGAGTGAATAAGTCTTCCAGTCTTTATTCAAGCCTACTTGATTCTGTTCTTCTATTTCTCCTTCTTATTTCACTGGCTTTTTTGATGGGACTCCCGGGCATTGATCGTTGATCTGTAAATACCCGGACCTCATGAGCCTCTCCCGAGTCATCCAGAGGCGCCCCTTTGCCCATGATGGATTTCGCAGAAAAGCTGTGCCCTGGATCGCCTCTCCTCTCCAACCATCCACTAAAGCTTCTAGAGAATACACTGTGACCCCGGGAGAAGACCCTAAGACCGCCAAAAGAACAAACGATCCGTCGCTGTCGGAACGGTCCTCTCTTGCAGATAACGAGCTTCCGCGCTTCAGATATCATCACGAATCAAGTACGATCGAACTCTTTTACGATCTCTTCCTCGTCGCCAACCTCACCAGCTTCACAGCCGACCATGAGATTATCAACGGACAATCACTCCGAAATTATGTTGGCTTCTTCACAATCGTGTGGTTTACTTGGCTAGAGACTTCGCTATTTGACGTTCGCTTCGCCACGGAGTCTGTCTTCACCCGAATATGCAAAGCTATTGCTTTCGCAGCCATGACTGGGATCGCCGCCTGTGGTGCGAACTATAACACAGGAGAAGTTTCCGAGCACCTCAGAACTTTTCGATCACTCTCAATCATTCTGATGATTTCTCGACTTGCTCTCGCAATCCAGTACATTGTGGTTTTGCTCTACGTTCACAAATACCCCAGAACTCAGGCACCACTTCTAGCAACCATTGCGATTCTTCTCCTTTCAGCCATAGCTTTTCTCGGCACATTTTTCGCCTTTAACCTCAACGACGAGAGTAATGAGCACAACACAAGTGGTTCAAACTCAAGTGGACCACCAGTTTACATCTCTCACTACATTATCGTCTGTGTCGAAACTATCGGGGTGATCGCTATCTCTTGTATCTGGAGATCTATTAGTTTCAAAAAGACGCATCTCGTCGAGCGCATTGGACTCCTAACATTGATCATTATGGGCGAGGGGATTATTGGCATAACCAAGTCGATTTCCAAAATCTTGCAAAATGCCGCCAACACAGCTGCAAGCGTGTTTGGCATAACCATTTCAGCGGTTTTGCTATTATACTTTGTATGGATACTCTACTTTGACCAAATTGATCACGACCGCTTCGGAACTATTCGACAGCAAGTGTGGGCTATCCTCCACTTTCCACTTCACACGGCTCTGATTCTAGTTTCCGAGGGAAGTGCCACCTTGATCCTATGGAAAGCTATTATTAGGTATCTTGTGGAAGCACTGGCAATCCAAGTCCAGGCCACCGACATGGTAAGCTCAACTAATGCCGAAGTTGCGGGTTATATCGAAAAGCAGCTCAAGACCTTTGTTCACCACTTCAAGAATGAAACTTTGTTTAGGCTTGACGTCGAAAGCTTCATCAACAGCTCCTTGACTGATATCCGTCAACTTCCGGCGAACGATTCCAGTGGCCGAAATGACACCATCGTTGGAATAAGAGATGACATGTTCAATTTGGTTTTCGGGGCCTTTGGTATCGAAGTCAACCAGGAAGACACTACTTGGGATCCCCAACTTAGTATTTTCGACACGGTTATCTTCTACTATTACCTTGCTGCTGGCGTCTTTGTGATTCTGCTTGCCGTGCTTTACTCGTTCGGTAAGACCAACAAGTCTCGTGGGGAGTGGTTTAGCGCTGTACTCAGACTTGTTGTGGGAATCGGGCTCTGGTAGGTCTACACCTGTTAGCTTTTAGGATGTCCAGACTAACTTATCTGTGTTTTACAGTACGACCACTCCCGCCCTCGTCCTGAGAAGCGATAAGTCGTCGACCAGAGGGTTTGTATTCTCTGCTTGGACTGTCACGGTCGTCATGCTAGTATACTTTGTGCTTATCATCCTTGACAATCTACTGGACTGGTACGCGGATAAGAAGTCGAGCGGTCAAAAGCCAACATATATCGAAGACACTGAACGAAGCCTTGAAGGAGAAGAAGACGCATTGGTTAAGCAGACGAACACCGATATGGCAGAGCAGGGAGAAACGATTCGATTAAGGTTGGTGGAGATCTCCCCTGCTGATGAGGCCGATCCTCGTAGAGTGGAAGATCCCCAGTCGTCGCGATCTTGAGAACGTGGGATGTTCGCCAATGTCAAACTTCATATGCTGACAACAATAAAACCTGGGTCCACAGATGGACTTGTTAACTCGTTTTTCCAAATTCGCTTGACCCGCATCGGAGCATAAGCAGTGATATATCGGCAGTGTGAATATACAGTGCTAGTATTGTGCTTCTTCAGAAATATTCCATGTGCACTGGACTGCCGTTGCGCCCCTTGATCCTCGGGTGTTCTTGGTGTCAACCACCCCCGGCTAACAGGTAGATTAAATTTGCTGTACTCAAAATCGGTGCAGGTTTTGGAAGTCGGGCATCGTCAAACCCTGGAAGGGGCTCGGCTTTTGCCCGTGACACAGGAAGGAACTCAACAACATTTTGGGACTTCCCTAATTCATCCTGGTAATGATGAACTTCGAAGATGATGAGGAGACGTTAAGCGGCTCGGGTTCCAGGGTCTGAAATCCTTCCATAGGTGGCCTACCCCTTTGTCTGCTCTTGTGCGTGTCAAACGATCTTAGACATTGAATGGCGCGCTAGCATCCAAGTGCGAATCGATCTAAGCGCTGGAGCTTCGGCGAGTAGATAACGAGCGAGCCCTTTCAGCTAGAGCTCTGAAAGCTGCCACACTCGTGTGCCGAGATGGCCTAAAGTTATTAACCGTAAGCCGTCGGCTGTCGGTCATTGTTGATTATCGGCCTAGAATCGCCGCGCACTTCGCTGGTCCTGAGGCAGTACAGCGTCATTACTGGAACTAGCCTGATCAAATGCCTTGACCTATGACTGCCGTTTACTTTGTCAAATTTGTTGCGGCTCATACATCATGCTAGTATCTGTATGGGCCGAGCATTAATAGACAGAGATTAGCTGAGCCGAAGCATGTTTAATTTCGGAGCACTGTAAAGATTTGTCGGATTCTTAAAGGCTTCTACTCTTGCTCCGGTACTTTCTTTCAGCGCGCCCGGTGCTATAATTTGATTTATCACATCTGAATCTAAAAATGGCACCCAGAGATCTGAGACCGTCAGTCGAATTCGTCAATACTCCGGGGCATGAGGCATCGCCTCTTTACCATGATTCTGCCACCGTCACGGCGGCAGGGCGACTAGTCTTCACTTCTGGTGTTGTCGGAGTCAAGGATGGTCGGATTGTTAAGGAACTCAAGCCACAAGTCAAGCAGGCTTTCGAGAATCTTGCTTCCACCCTGGCCGCTTCGGGATCGCGACCAGTCGATATCCTCCATTTGAGATTCTACGTAGTCAACTGGCATTGGACCGAGACGGAACATCTTGTTAAGGAATGGATGGATCTTGTAGGACATAAGCCTCCCACATGCCTGGTACCGGTCCCGAAACTGTATCAAGAAGGGGTATTCTTCGAAGTGGAAGCCGTGGCGGCTACTGGAGGTTGCCAGAAGGTATGGAGCAATCCTGGGCCTTCGATCTTAGGCCTTCAGGCAGCACCAACCAAAACAGATGTCGTCGTTGTTGGTGGAGGATTCAGTGGCGTCCAAGCTGCATATGACTTGCACAAGAGTGGTCTGAGAGTCATTCTTTTGGAAGCGACTCATCGTATTGGTGGGCGGAGCAAAACCATCAAGCTCGCAAGTGGTCCAGGCTACACTGAGCTCGGAGCTACATGGATCAACAAGACCACACAGCCCAAGATATACGCCCATGCCCAGCGACTCGGGTTGACATTCATCGAACAATACAATCCACCGGAGGCCTTTGGGGTCTTTCAGAAGACGAATGGCGTCGTGGCGCGTGCAAAGGTATCGGATCCGGCTTATTCAGGTCCAGAGGTAAGAAATTCCGTCCTCTGAAGCACTGTTACATTTCATCTGATTGCATTTTGAGTACAGTTCTCTGCAGAGGAGACAAAATCGTTCAATAAGTTCTTGGAAGCTTTTCAATGGGAACTGACCGAAAATCCGAACATCGACATCAACAACACCAGTAGCTTTCCCAATGCAGAAGACCTCAGCGTAGCAGAGTGGGCGAAAAAGCGACAACTGGGACATACAGGCGAGCAAGCTGCCGCTGCACTGTGTCGTGCCAACGTGGGCAGGGAGCCTGACGAAGTAGGCATCCATTATTGGGCCGACTATGTCAAATCCGGGGGAGGTCTGTACTCTCTGATCTCTGATGACGAACTGGGAGCCCAGAACCTGTTCATCAAAGAGGGGACTTCTGCAATCGCTCAAGGTCTTGCCGCCGAATTGAAGCCAGGCTCGGTCTTGGTTAACAGTGCAGTCGACGAGATCAATCAACATGGGGATCAAGTGTTGCTTACCACTGTCAACGGCTCTCGATTTCTGGCCAACAAAGTGATCATGGCCAACCCCACCAACACATACACAAAGATCAAGTTTACTCCTCCGCTTCCACAGGGCAAGCGCACGCTGGTCACCCAGACGCGACCTGGGATATATGCCAAAGCATGCATCACATATGCGAAGCCGTGGTGGAGAGAGTTGGGTCTGTTAGGCAAGTTCAGAAGCTATCAAGGTCCAATCTGCTTCTCCTGGGAACTGTCGGTTTTTGACCTCAACTCGTACACACTGGCGTTGTTCATTGCCGGTAAAGCTGCTGAAGAGTGGTACAAATTGACCCCTCTTGCTCGCGAGCAAGCCGTCCTCGAGCATCTGAGCAAATTCGTCGAGCCAGAACAGCGACATCTGGTCGACAACGTGCTCGAGTTCAACATGGGCACATGGTCCGAGGAGGAATGGATGGGGGGAGCGCCAACGTCTGCGATGCCTCCAGGCTACTTGTCTCGATTTGGCGAGGAGCTCCGTGCTCCGTGGAAGAATATTCACTTTGCAGGTGGTGAGACTGCGAGAGAGTGGAAGGGTTACCTTGAAGGTGCATTGAGGGCGGGAAGTCGTGCAGCCGACGAGGTTATCTCTATCATGGGCTCCAAAGGGCATCTCTAATTGCACATAGAGAGCATAGATTGTTGGGCAGATCTGTTTGTTCCAAATCCATGTTATAGTTTACGCAGTTCGGGTCCAAGGGCACACTGTATGAAGAGCACAGTGCTCAGGCTTGAGAGATTGTTGGAGTCTTATCTACGCGATCAGTACGGAGTAAAGCTGCTTGGCTGTCGCCCAGAATTCTCGTTTTACGTTAGTCTTAGTACAGGGCCAGGGGGTCCGAAATCCCTTCTTCTCCCCGAAATCGTTACGTAATTGACACCCCAATATCAATTCAACCTCAGACACAGGGCACCGGACCTCAGTGTTGACACCTGGAACTACTCAGTCCCTTGCAATTACAATACATGGACTATCAAGCCAGTAAAGATCGTGCCAGAGTCGTGTGTGTACGGTGTCACGAACGTAAGGTATGCAACAATCGTTCATTCTCCAAGTCAACGGCAGACTGATTCTCTCCAGATTCGATGCGATGTACAAGATGACCGTGATGGACGCTGCAGTAATTGTCGCAAATCCCAAGCAACTTGTCGGTGAGTGCAGTTCCAGATCTTCCACATCATCTTACTGACTTCTGCTGCAGAATCTTCGAAGGTAGACGAAAACTGCGCCGGCACATGCGCAATCGCGGGGATGATACCAACACTTCGCCAAAGAAAATATTCCCAAATCGTGGAAATTTATCTATGCATACGCTTCGCAGTCCCATCGAACTGACAGCCAGTGAACATGGTAGACCAACATTAGGAGAGTCCGAATCAGAGCCACCAAACGAGCCAACCACGCAACCAGCAAACACGACTGCCGCGAAGAATCATCATCTCAGGCCATTCGACACTTCCATCAACGACACGGCGTATATTGCGGATCACTCAATCCTGCAAGCCCCGGCTGGTGGACATGCCCAAGATGTCCCCGTGGTAGAGCCATCATTTCTGACAGACACTCCAAAGACCCTGGACATGATCCTTCAGGTATCAGAAGCCGATATTCTTCCTCCCCAACCACTTCGCGGAGCTTTGATCGATTCATTCTTCAGATGCCTGGCTGATAGTTTTCCCATGATTGAACGAGACGAACTTGACTCGCCCAGAGCATCGACTCTACTCCAACAAGCTGTTTGCTTCGCGGGCAGTCTTATTCGGCCATCGAGCCCGCAATGGTCACTTGGCGACACAAAGGCATTGTACGACAAAGTCATGCTCTTGATCTCACTTCATTACGAGAGAAATGCCCTCACAGTCCTTAAAGCAATGTGTCTTCTGACTCTTTGGAGTCCCAAATCTCCCAACCGAGTCAGCCTTGTTGGGCCCTGGCATGTGACTGGCTCAGCTTTACGCCTCGCCATACAGATGGGAATGCATTGCAAATCTACATTACTGGGTAAAGCAGATACGAGTTGCCGCCTAAAGATAATCTGGATGCTCCATGTAAGTTGAGCTACTTCCTTTGCCCTTGCGCAACACTAAACCATAGCAGGCCAGCGATTGTGTGCTATCGATGGTCTACGGTCGACCTCCGCTATTGCGCCCGGAGGACCTGGATATTCCAGTTCTGACCAAAGACAACTACAGTGTCCTCACACAGGGGGCACTGGCCTTTATGGCAGATATGACGCTGTCTCGTATCATGGGCGAAATCGCAGAATTCACGTCCAGAAGTCGCCTCTCCTCTGAGCAACAGCAACAATTCCATGAGTCCCTCAAGTCATGGGTGTGCAGCCTTCCTGCTGAGATCAGCCTCTACGCTGAAGGAATCAGGACGCCGTACCACTTTTCCACTTTCGAGGTGCACATAGCGTATCTCGGTACCATTATACTCTTGCAGGTCCTCACACCTGGATCTGGAAAACAGCTGGTATGCTCAATCGCATCGATTATTGCCGCTGTCACGATGGCAGATCTATACGAGGACATTCTTTGCAGAGATCAAGCACCATTTCTCGCTGCGATACACGGTTTCTTTTGCACAGTAGCAGCCATACCCTTACTACAGTACAAACCAGCCTCTCCGGAATGGGAAACAAGACGTGTTGCCAGCTTAGACGTGATTTGCTCTGTTGTAAGCAACCTAGAGAACAAGTTTGGCCTGGCATTCACGGCGAGTCGGAAGATTGCCCAGTTGAAGTCTGACCGAGCAAATGTGATTGAGCCTCAACATTATACAGCCAATGGATCTCCCGGTCCAGGCAACTATAGGCTGGGTACTAGTGAAATGGCTGAA